TATCGAGAATCAGTCGGGAAAAATTTGTGGGAATATGCATGCTCATATTTCTGAATATGTTCTTCTCATTTAAAATATTTTCAGAAATGCAGTGTTGCCGCTTCTATCAAAGAGTATCAACAACTTTGTTATTTAAAAAAAAAAACTCTGTATTGTATTGCATTTTCAAATTCTCCCTGAAGAGCTGATCTCATCGATACATCACACTTGGGGTCTATCGAAAATGATTTCAGAGATATAGGGTGTTGAAAGTCGAGATTTTTCAACTTAAGGATTTGTTGTTGTCCAAACTATTCATTATCGGCCAAAACGGCTCACATGTCCCTATCTCAACTTTTGATTTACTGTCTACTGATGATTAATCGGAACAGATTCAGGGTGATCAGAATTCTGTATCTTGAACCACCCTGTATTTATTCTTATTGAATATCAGTGAATAGTGAATAAAAAGTTGAGATTAGGACATGTGAGTCGTTTTCACCGGTAATGAATAGTTTCGACACAAAAAAATCCTAAAGTTGAAAAATTTCGATTTTCAACACCCTATATCTCTGTAATATTTTCCGACAGACCCCAAGTGTGATGCATCGATGAAATCAACTTTCCAGGAAGAATCTGAAAATGCGATAAAATACAGGGTGTTCCATTTGAAATATCAATGATGCTACTACTTTCTAGTAGAAGCGGCAACACTGTATTGTCGAAAATATTTCAAATGAGGATAGCGTATTTCAAAATATAAACACATAGATTTTCATGTATTTCTCCTGACTGATTCTCCATATAAAGATAGTGTAAACTCGTCGTGACATACCCTGTATGACTGACTTTTATATGGAAAAAGAGTTGTACAGTGAGAAGAATCGGAATCGAATATATTCACAATAAAGGGAAACAGGGTCATTTTTAGTATATAGGGTGAGTCAATAGTGTGTTCTCCTTAGATCCAAACCGTCAGATATTCAGAAAAAATCCAATTACAATAGTTATAGGGTTTCACGAGTACTATCACCCTAAAATCATTTTGATATCTATAGGATGTACAATATATGTATGTTTAGATAAATACATTGCACGTTGAATGAAAAGCTTCATCCCATGAATTTTAAAGATGTCAGCAATGTCAAAATTTCAGATGGTAAAGAGAACTATGTTAATCGCAATTCTTCGGAAATGGTTTTTACTAATGATGAACTTTCTAGAATGAACAAGACATCTGAACTCCGAATCGGATATCTTCGTATGTCTTGCGACTTGAATCTTTGAAAACAAACTGAACCGTCCATTTTGATTTCCAGTTGTTGCTATAAGAAGATACAAACTGATGTTTTCCAAGAAGACAGTGATACTGCTTTTTGAAAATTATGAATATCCCACCTGTGAAGTAAATCAACCTATAATGTACCAGTTATGTATTGTTCAAACTTTTCTTACCAACCTCTTTGTCAGTAAATATTTCATCACCTTTTTTTTCTACGAGTGTTTTATTTATACAATTCTTTATAGATGTCTTGATCGAGAAGATAATAAGCATTTCCGGAAACTCGGCTATGTAACGAACACTTCTCATTTAAGGCCAACATTTTGACTGCATCCCCAAAAGGAAGAAATATTGTGATATTTTTCATACTTTTTGATATACAGGGTGTTCCTAAACATCATGTACATCCGAAAGGGGGTAATTCCTCAGCTCATTTTAAGACTAAAAGTTCATATAAACATTGGTCCGCAAACGCTTTGTTACCGATCTACGGGGTGTTGAAATTTCAAGATTTTTTTTGTTTTTTCTTTATAGATCCTGCAGTTTTTGAGATATGTGGCTCAAATTTGAAACATAGATTATGTTATAGGGCTTACATCGATGGACATCTCAAATGTTTGTGAGAATCTATAAAAAAATTGAAATTTCAACACCCCGTAGATCGGTAACGAAGCGTTTTCGGACCTGAGTTTATATGAACTTTTAGTCTTAAAATGGTCTGAGGAATTACCTCCTTTCGGATGTACATGATGTTTAGGAACACCCTGTATACAGGGTGTTTCATTGGGAAAGGTAAATAATTCGACTGTGGATAGGGGTCACTGGGGTGATTTGAAAAAACCCATGGTTAATGGGTCTTCGACTTCTTATAACCGAGATACAGGATGTTTCATCAATTTTGTCCATATCTTCATTGTCTCATAACTTTCCAACCAACCTGTATATATTTTTTAAAATTGGTACACTTGCTCAATCTACCCTGTGGAATAGATTGAGGCAACAACAAAAAATAAAATCCAGGTCCAGCTTCACTTAAAATTCACAAATTCTTTCTGCCAGAAAACAACACCCTATACATTCGAATTTCTCATTCTTTCTGCCATATCGGAAAAGAACATCAAAATTTCTATTCAACGATGTGCTTTTTATTCGTGCACAGACGATTTTAACTATTCATATTATGTGCTCAAAATATTATTTTTGCTCATTTTGGGGTAGAAAATTGGAATCAGACGAGATTTGTTAATTTCATTACTTCCTATTGAGTATTCGTGAGTATTACATTTAGAAGGAGTATTTCATATCGTTCTTTGTTCCAGACTTAGTTGCAGGTCCGTCATCAAAACTATACAGGGCTTTTCACGATGAGCGTTAATTTGACGTTTTCGGCGAAGCAGGCAACGGATATATCTGGAATTTCGATGGTATGTATAAATTAACATAATCTACACTACTGAAATATTTGAAACGATCCGGCCTTGCCGCTTCTACTAGAAGGAAGCAGCAACTTCGATTTTTCAAATGGGACACCCTGTATTTCATTACATTCTTGGATTCTTGCTGAACAGCAGAATTCATCGATTCAAAACATTCAAGGTCTAGCGGGACTGATAACTGAGATGAATAGGATGTGGAAAATCGAGATGTTTCAACTTTAGAAATTTTTTGTGTTGAAACTATTCATTATTGCTTGGTCAAAACGGCTGTCAATAGATACAAAGTTGAGATAGGGACATAAAAGCCGTTTTGATCAATAATAAATATTTTCGCAAAATAATTCTAAAGTTGAGACATCTCGATTTTTCTCACTCTGAATATCTCAGTTATTAGTCCCACTAGACCTCGGACTTTGTGAATCGATTAAATTAGCTCTTCAGGAAGCATCCAGGGTGTCCCATTCGAAAAATAAAAGTTACTGCTACTTTCGAGTAGAAGCGGCAACGCCGGATTGTTTCAAATATTTCAGACGTGTAGATCATGTTAATTTATACATACCTTCGAATTTTTAGATTTATCCGTTGCCTGGTGTGCCAGAAACATCTAATTAACGCTTATCGTGAAAAGCCCTGTATAGTTTTGATGACGGACCTGCAACTAAGTCTGGAACAAAGAACGATATAAAATACTCCTTCTAAATGTAATACTCACGAATACTCAATAGGAAGTAATGAAATTAACAAATCTCGTCTGATTCCAATTTTCTACCCCAAAATGAGCAAAAATAATATTTTGAGCACATAGTATGAATAGTTAAAATCGTCTGTGCACGAACAAAAAGCATATCGTTGAATAGAAATTTTGATGTTCTTTTCAGATATGACAAAAAAATGAGAAATTCGAATGTATAGGGTGTTGCTTTCTGGCAGAAAGAATTTGTGAACTTTAAGTGAAGCCGGACCTGGATTTTATCTTTTGTTGTTGCCTCAATCAATTCCACAGGGTAGATTGAGCAAGTATACCAATTTTTGATAATATATACAGGTTGGTTGGAAAGTTATAAGACAATGAAGATATGGACAAAATTGATGAAACATCCTGTATCTCGGTTATAAGAAGTCGAAGACCCATCAACCATGGGTTTTTTGAAATCACCTCAGTGACCCCTATCCACAGTTGAATTATTTACCTTTCCCAATGAAACACCCTGTATATATATATAAAATATACAACAACTTTAGAAACAGTTCCAAAGGGCATCTTTCTAGGTGAGGTTGCAGGAAAAATTTTGGCCTTAATGAGAGGACTCTTTGTTACTTAGCCGAGCTTTCGGAAATGTTTTTTTTTTATCAAGACATCTATAGAAAATGGGTAAGTGAAAAAACTTTTGGTATTTTTTTTTTAAATGTATTGTAATAGAAAACGCTGTGCACTAGCTGAACATGTCATTGATTCAAACCATAGGATGAAAATAGTTATTTGAAGCGCACTTCCTTGGAAATGTTTCACATAAATAATGAATCATATAGTATGAATAAAAAGTGCGATATGGACAATCTCAGTAACATTTATAATTATCTTCTTGAAGTTGAACAAATGAACTGTATCCCTAACAATATTTCCAGATTATCAATAACAAATCCTCAATAATAAGTTTGCTCACTACCCAATTATCAATTCAAATTTCCTACCATTCTTTCTCTTTTCGTAATCGACATTGAAATCGATTCGGCTCTTTCCGTATTAATTGTATCATCTGTGGCCGTTTGTTAGCTTCCATCTTGTTGAGATATCGAAGTCGACTATGAAAAAGCACCGGTGGTTTACTGTTTTTCAAATTGTTTTCTACGTTTTACGAATTTTAATGTCTTCTTGTTTGTGTAACAAATTCAGCAAATGAATCGACTGTTCTTTAATTGTTCCAACTTTGTACCAATCTCATGTTAAGTAAGTACTTAGTTTCGTAAGAGTTTGATTTTTTATGCATACCATTTTTCTTATAGATTTCTTGAGAAAGGAAATGAACATTTCCGAAAGCTCGGCTCAATATAAGAGTTCACTTATTTGATGCCTAAAATTTTGACTGCAACCCTATGAAGAATCAAACCACAGTGTTCGTTCTAAATCACTAGTATTTTACCTCAACTAGTCAGTCATAGACTACCCTTCTCCTAAACTATATATATATATATATATATACATATATATATATATAATATATATATATATATATATATATATATATATATATAACTACATATCATTACTCTACATTTTAATGATATTCTCCAATAGCACTCACCTGAAAGCTCGAGGTTATTATCTGTATGGTCTTCATCTTCATTTTCGAGAATTTCACATGGTTTCTCATATACCCTCTGCCTCGTGAAGTGCAGCTTTGCTATCGGGTTGATGGGTTCACCATCTTCATTGTAGAACGGAGATCTAGGATCATTAGGGTTATTAGGAGTTATTGAGGTTATCTCTTTTTGTCTACGTATAGGCCTGGAGGACTGAAAAGAAAATGAATATTAATGATGAGACGGGCCAGCACTGTGGGTAGGTAGCGAGGTCGAATTCCCGGAAAAGAAGATATTCGAGATTTTTCATTTCATGATGCGTGTTATGAGTTTTCGTAGCGTCAGCCGTTGATGGTTCCGTATGATTCACTATTATATTCAGTGTTCGTCAGTGTGAGCAATAAGAAGCCTACACAGAATACGCTGAAGATCTCTCTTGAAGTCAATAGTCAGTTTGGATGTTTAGGTACACACTCACGAATAAAATGTAAATACACTTCCGAGGTAACACGAAACTCTCTGCGATATCTCTATAAGTAGTTATCTTCAGGGTCATAATGCGAGGTGCCAAAGGTCACTATAGGCTGTCACCATGGTCAATACTTTCTGAAGTCGTCCGAAAGAAATTGTGGAGATCTTGCCTTAGATTTGAAATAGTCCTCTTTATTGCGAATTCCTAAGGTTTTTCTGCGAGCACCCAAAGATATCCAGGACGTAACATGCACGAAAATTTCCCATTGCGAGCTCCTGAAGTAATTACAAACATACCCGGAATAATTATTGAATATTTATGCAAAAATTTCGACTTGGTTTGTTATCGAGCTTTATAATTCATCAGTAAAACGCAATATTCATTCGACTTTCGAATACCAGGTGTCACGAGTTATCGTATATCAAATGACAATATCTCGCTTATTTGTCAAGTTATTGAAATAATTGATAACTGCTTCGGATGGTATTAACTCACCTCCCTAATAACTCAAGAACAATGTTGTACATTTTTACAGCCCTATTTGGAAAATAACGATAGCACATAGCACGGTACTTAATTCAAAAATGCCTTTACCCATGTTTTTCAAAACTTCTTATTTCTTCTACACTATATTTACCGAAACGATTTTCACTGTCCATTTTCAAGCTATACACCACACCTAGTAACGATATTTATCAACATATAAAACAGTTTTGTTTTCTTTGATTCCTTCACAACTGGCCACAGCCTTCTCAATTGAGTTTCCCGCAATCGTGATCCCGCATTCACTCTTCCTCTTCACTCGCGATCGAAGGTACTAGGGATGTTATGCAACTAACAATACATTGAAGCGTTGAATGGATAAAGCAGCGTACATCATAGGGAGTGAGAAGAGAGAGATGTAGAGATGTCACGTCAGTCGTGGTTGAAAAATTATTCCTATTTTAGGTTATATCATGCGAATCATGCTCAATCAATAATTATTTGGAATTGTCTTATAATAATTGTGAGGACAATTCAAATTGTGATAGTGCCTATTGGGTTTTGAATAGAAGTGTAGTGTTTTTATTCCCTGAACACGAATATATTATGACAGCATTTATATCCTGCTGTCATGCTACAAAAACTCAAACAGTAAGTAGCCAATCAGGTGCCGAAATACAAAATCGATAACATAGTGTTTTCGATTATCAATACAGCTGTTACAACCAATCAAAAGCCTGAATTTTCAGATGAATGAAATAATCGAGAAAATTCAACTTCATCCCGAACGATATCGCTGGCGCTAGTTAGAGATCGCTTACAGGTGACTGTCGACAACCAATAACTCCCATGAATTGAACACCACAATCCACAACACAATATCCTTGACGATCTTGTGGGGATCATAAGGCAATATGGGCTTCGGATTCTTGAACAACTGATAGTTGCGAACACTTGAATAGTTCGCCATCAGCAATTGATGAGAGTTTCTCAAAATCCTCTTCACAAAGCTATGCATGCTCGTAGTCGCGAGCACTCAAAGACCTCGCCAGACGCAATTGATGTGAAACTCCTAATGTTCTCATCACAGCGAATACCACAAAAAGCTCATAGTTGCGAGCACTTTTAGACCTTGCTAGTGGCAATTGATGCGCATATCCCAAAGTGCTCGCTTAAGGGGATCGTATGAAAATTTTTGCATAGGATATATTTTAGACCTCGCTGAGCTCATCCTGGGCGGTAGATATTGGGGGAACACCTAACGATCTCGGTGATCTTTTGAAGAAGTTACAAATGGCATCACAATTTCGTAAAATGATATCTTTGAGATATCTTCAGGACCTCTTCGTGTTGCTTGGGTTGCCCATAACTAGTTGGAACTGTTCGCTTGTGCGTTCTACTATGTGAGGAAAATATGACATAGATAGCTATCGATGAACATTGATTCTATAAAAACTGTAATACTTCTATAATGAATATTTTTCCACTATTTTCATCCAAAACGTAGTGATAACAGACCATTTACCTACTAGTTTCAGTGTTGACATATGAAAGTCCAGTTCCCAAATAAATGAGACGTAATACTGTACCAGGCACACTCTGTTTGTGAGGGTGAACAACCAGAAGTTATTGATCCCGTCGGGACCAGGAGCAGCAAAGTTCTTGGAGCCTTTGAGGGCTCGAACCTCCTCAGTGGTTATCGGTTGGCGCAGTAATTCGAGCTCAGGCTCTCGGTATCTTTCGCAGAAGGTACCGAACTGGGCCAGGACTAGAGTTTCTCTGTTGAATGAATGTCTCACTTCATGAATACTCTTCCAGAAGGTTTCCACCTGATCAGCAGTCGGCGGATTGTCAACCACACTTGGAGGCGGTTGAAATAAGCGAGAGAGCTTTTCGCGGAATTGAATATTTTTCGCTAGCCCTTTCGCTCGCCTCTTTAGTGACTGTTTTGCAGCCACTAACATCCTTATCCTTTCGAGGCAGTGCTGTTTGAGTGTGTAATGAGTGTGACGCAATGTATTGGCCATCCGTCGCACCTTCGACGTGAATGGCCTGTTGGCCCTCACATAATCCATCACACACTGGATACTGAAAGTGTGTTGTCTCGCCGACTGGATCTTGGTTTCCATCTTTTGTACACGCCGATCGGCTCTCTCAGTCGGTGAGACCGTTTGTATGGGTCTCTCCGGTAGAGAGGACCGAACGGCGGAATACACGGCACAGTTGATGTGCCAGATGTCAGTCCCTTCCGGAAGTGTTCCTTGAAGTGATTCATCCATCCTTGCAAGATCTTGAGGCCGCAGGGCCTCAATGTCGAGTATGCTCTTGCGGTTCCTGATCTCGTTCACCTCAGGAAGCACACGGTCCCCTCTTTCGTTGTCGAGCAGAATGGGTGGAGCTTGTTGTTCCTCCACACCATCTTTCTGCGCGTAGGTGAGATACATATTTCCGCTGATTTTGAGCATTATTATCATTATTATCATCATTAACATTATTATCATTATTATTTGAATTTATATCATTCCAATCACGACCCTGCGGCCTCCGACGCCACGCAGAGTCGTGCTGGATAAAATCCAGTGACTACTCCCCACAGCCTGTGGGGTGAATAATCACTGGGACCAAGAACCGTGTGCCCTGAGTGAACGCAATGATCGTGTGCTTTATCGCTGCACGCTGGGATTTTCTGGATTTCCGAGAGCAGCGTGTGTCGTGTGCCTCCTAGGGATCCGATTACCAGGATGACCAATTCCACAGAATGGTCTGGATAGAGACTGCGGAGTTAGAAGAGAACATCTCGATATCGGTCTCCTTCTCCTTCAAAACGATGTTCGGTTCGGCTGGCGCCGAAAACTCGATCACGAACATCGCTTCGGTTTGATGGTCGAGGAGGACTACATCAGGCTTGTTGGCTTGTATTTGCCTGAGTGTGGGGAATGAGAAGTTCCAATAAATTCGGCACCTCTCATTCTCCACAACGGACTCAATATCCCCCGGAGCATAGGGCAGCACTGGGGTCTCGTCTATTCCGTACGAGTGCCTAAGGTGATAATAGAGCACTCGCAATGCCGCAATGTGTCTATGGATATAGGCCGAGACTGCATACACCGTGCAAGAAGACAGCAGGTGCATAATTGTATCGGGCGCCCTGCGACAGGCCCTGCAATTTGTGTCAGGGACCTCCATACCCATGACACGGCTACGGTAGTCGAGAGTGTTAAAAACCCCATCTTGGCATGCCATGATAAACCCCTCTGTTTCCGATTTAAGCCCGCGTGACTTGAGAAAAGCGAAAGTCAGTTCTTTGGATAAGCCCCGGTCTTCAATGGTCTTGAAGTAGACCGATATCATTATTATCATTATAATCATTATTATCATTATTATCATTATTATCATTATTATCATTATTATCATTATTATCATTATTATCATTATTATCATTATTATCATTATTATCATTATTATCATTATTATCATTATTATCATTATTATCATTATTATCATTATTATCATTATTATCATTATTATCATTATTATCATTATTATCATTATTATCATTATTATCATTATTATCATTATTATCATTATTATCATTATTATCATTATTATCATTATTATCATTATTATCATTATTATCATTATTATCATTATTATCATTATTATCATTATTATCATTATTATCATTATTATCATTATTATCATTATTATCATTATTATCATTATTATCATTATTATCATTATTATCATTATTATCATTATTATCATTATTATCATTATTATCATTATTATCATTATTATCATTATTATCATTATTATCATTATTATCATTATCATCATTATTATCATTATTATCATTATTATCATTATTATCATTATTATCATTATTATCATTATTATCATTATTATCATTATTATCATTATTATCATCATTATCATTTTTATCATTATCATCATTATTATCATTATTATCAATATTATTTTTATCATTATAGATCATTTCGGGCTCTCCTGCAGATAGCTATGAACCCCCAGCGAAAAATTTCTGGGCCCATGTTTATGTACACTTTTTCTTACTGTTTTTGTTCATAGATTCTGTGATTGAAATTTTTCTATGAAACTAATTTCGGGACACCCTGTATACATCAACTCGTCTTGATTTTCCTGATTCAAATATATATATCATCATCATTCTCTTCAATTTCATTATTTCATCTCATATTGCCGGCAGATCGTTGACGTGCATCCTAGAAGAGTTTCGTGTAAATATTCAAAGACAACTCAATACATGTAATTTTTCATTATATAGAATGTATTTTTCGAGTCAACTATTGAAACCAAACGACGAACATCAAGTTATTATGAATAAATGGATATTCCGTTTCTTGTTCCATTTATTATCAGTAGGTATACTTACTGAATATTCTATGCCATCATCGGTTCCTACGTCAATTGGATACAAATTGAAAGAATAGTACTCTGCCCAAGTACAATCGCTCATACACAATTCGAAATCTGATACACCAACTATCCAGTCCGGAGATGGAGTAATTTTCGAAACTAATGATACCAAGTGGTTTTTGTTATCCACTCGAAATACTGCATATGATGATTCCGTTATGTTCGGATACTGAAGTCCTCTTGCTTTTATGATTGTTCGAATATTGTCACTCTGAAAGCAAAAAATAAAATCAATTATCTAATCCTCAACAAAGTATCTACTATTATTTGATGTATAACCAATTGACATTTATCATACAGGACGTGGAAATAAATTCTGAATTGAGGAGAGATAATCACGAATCTGCGATTGAAGGTGTATAAAAATTACAAGTTTCCATCGTTCAAGTTTGAACCCCTTGATTGGGTATAAATATCGAATTTTCACAGGTAAATTATGAACATGAAAACATATTCAAAAATATACATTGACAATACGCATTCAACTTCAGAAGATTTTGTTTTCAAATTCTCATCGTGTGTCTTCTATAGATATCATGCAATGTTCGTCGTGGCATATAGGCAGAAAATTAGTTGTTTTTTTTTGGATGAACCAAGAAAAAATTGATATTTTTATCACCTAGAGAATATATATATGTTAATTTTTTTCATGTTCATAATTTATCTGAGAACATTCCTTTGTCCTTATAGCGCGATAACATTCGTAAGACGTCGTAGAAACATCTATATTAGATGATAGGAACATCTCTGAAACACCTCCTATTCTCCTTGACACATTCTTGGCAACACTCGTGTCAGCATGTGCGATGTCATATTAACATCCCATCAGAATGTTTTTGGGATGACACGGGATGTATCAGAGACATCCAGGGAACTTGATATGAAATATCTTCAAGAAACTTCCAGAATGTTTTTTGTTTGTTGGCAGTGATGAATGACACGGTATAACATCGAAGAAAATTATGGCCGACCTATTGCCAGATATAAACTAACGAATATGAATGTAATAATATCCAAACATATGAGGTTGGTGCAGTCCAATAACTAATGGACGGTGATAACAGTTGAATGAGGCTTATCCTCATTGGCGCTGGATCGACCGCTATGAGCAACTAGTAGCAACGTAGTTGTACCGCCATCTACCGGCTGGTAACTGTTGGGTGGCTCAGTATATTTCACAATTCAATTATTTTATTATTGATTGTCTTGTCAGATATTAGATGACAGCATTATTATATGTTATGAGTTATTCAATAAAGTATTGAATTTAAACATATAGTAGCAGTTATAACAGTGGCGACGAGGATACAATCATCATGACCGAAGCATTCCAAAAATCTATAATGGAATTCATTAAGTCTCAACAAATTCAAGCTCAGAAACAGCAAGAGCAACTAATGAAAAACCAACAGGAATTTCTTCTTCAGTTCTCAAAGAGCTTTTCAGATAATCCCGGTATCAAGAGCTAGGAAATCAGTGAACTTTGAGCAATGGCATTTTAGAATTCCATCATGATCCGGATAACAAATGTCAGAAATCATTCGATAAATTCAAGGATGTTCTTCAATCAGATCTCCTGCTCACCCACTACAATCCACTTTTGAAGATTGTCGTAGCTGCTGATGCATCTAGTATTGGTATCGGTGCATGTATCTATCATGAATTTGAAGATGGTTCAAGAAAGGCAGTGTATCATATTTCGAGGAAATTGACTGATACCGAACAAAAGTATAGTCAAATCGAGAGAGGTCTTGGGCTTATATATGCTGTACAAAAGTTTCATCGTATGATCTATGGTAGGAAGTTCACCCTTCAGACTGATCATAAACCATTGTTAGCAATATTTGGATCCAAGAAAGGAATACCTTCCTATACAGCGAACCGGTTACAACGGTGGGCACTAATTTTGAAGGCATATGATTTTGATATTCAGTACATCAAAACAGATGATTTTGGTTAATATGCAGACATACTCTTTCGACTGATCAATACTGATGCAAGCCAAGAAGATGAAGAATATATCATTTCGGTTCTCAATTTGGAAGCTGATGTATTTCATACTCTGAGTTCAGCAATAGAGCATTTTCCAGTAACTCACAAAATGATCTTGCATGAAACAGCGAAGAATCAAAACTTACAAGAAGTTCTGAAATACATCGAGAAAGGAATTTGGCCAAAACGAAGTGAAATCTCAGACAGGATTTTATTTTATTTCATTTATTTTAGAACAACAACAATTTTGCCATTCCATTCAAGAAGGGAGTCATTGTCTGTGATTCAAGGCTGTTTGATGTTTGGGAACAGCGTAATAATTCCGAAAGTATTTCAGCAAAGAATACTGCAACAGCTCCATAAGGGTCATCCAGGTCAAGATCGGATGAAATCCATTGCGAGGAGTTATGTCTACTGGCCCAATATAGATCAAGACATTCAAGATTCTGTAAGAAAGTGTTCAAGTTGTGCACTAGCATCAAAATCGCCAAACAAGGCACCGTTATCATCATGGCTTATTCCTAATGGTCCTTGGGAAAGACTTCACATAGACTATGCTGGTCCACTAGATGGTGAATATTTCATTATAATCATGGACGCATATTCGAAATGGCCAGAAGTGTTCAATACTAGAACTACGACTACTGCATACACTCTGAAAAGTCTAGAAGAAGTTTTCGCAAGATTTGGAATTCCACTAGTTATCGTTACAGACAATGGAACTCAATTCGCAAGCGAAAATTTCGAATCATTTTGTGTTCAAAATGGCATCCAACACCTAAAGACGGCGCCATATTTTCCATAATCGAATGGCCAAGCCGAGCGTTTCGTTGATACTTTCAAACGAGCAATTAGAAAAATCAAACCAGGAGTACCATCGTTGAGTCAGCAGATTCAAATATTTTCGTCTACATATAGACTCACCCCAAACAGAAATACACCAGCTGAAAAATCACCTTCAGAAATAATGTTAGGAAGAAAACCTAGAACAACATTCGACCTACTTTTCCCACCTTGTGAAAACAATTCCTCAAACAAAAATTCGGATCTACATAACAGAAAACAAGGATCAAAAATGAGAGTTTTCAATAATGGTGACGAAGTTTTTTGTAAAATACATCATGGAAATGATTTTACATGGAAGCCTGGTAAAATCATATAAAAGATGGGGAAGGTGATGTATAACGTCTTGATGGAAGAATTTAAGAGAAATCAGTTGATCAGAGCTCATGTCAATCAATTGAAACCCCGTTCCACTCATATCAAGGATGATGAGAACTCTCAAAATCAGCTACCATTCTCAATATTTTTGGATTCATTCGAAATCAAGAAGCCTAATACAACATCAGAAACAATAGCACCTACCGATCTCACTCATCAAGAGAATTCAGATGAGAACATTATCATGGCATCTGGATCTAGTGTGAGCAAAGAGCGCGAGCCATGTAGGCCTACTAGAGAAAGAAGACTTCCAAGTTACTTTAATGATTTCAAATTACGAGAGGGAGGTGTTGGGTGGCTCAGTATATTTCACAATTCAATTATTTCATTATTGATTGTCTTGTCAGATATTAGATGACAGCATTATTATATGTTATAAGTTATTCAATAAAGTATTGAATTCAAACATATAGTAACAGTTATTACAGTAGCAAATAGATTCAGCAATAAAGATGCTGAAGAGATAATATACTTCATTTCTGTCGATTATTATAAGGTTGAATGTAGTTGATAGGTATGGGATACTTGTACCTGGTAATCTTATTGTAAATATTCGGTATAAATATTTCGATTTATTATCATCGATCGAACTAGCCAGATGTGGTATGACGTAGGTATGTAAGTACGAGTACAATTTCCATTCGCATCCTTTTCAATGTTTCAAATGCCCCAATTGTTCGAACTGTTCAATCATGTCGATCATTATTGTTTGTACAGAGTACATGTGAGCTTTGGAGACGAATTGAAAGAATTTGATTGATTGAGTACTAGGCACTGTTTGCACGTTTCCCGGCCTGTTCACCTGATGCGACCACGACATGTCACTCGTTATTGCAACACCTAAGTCTATATGAACATCTGCTACTGTTAGCTCAGAGTAATGTAGGTAAATGATTTTTCTTCCTGGGATTAATATGACCCAGGTGTAACACCACGCACTTTCCAAAATTCAGCGGCATTTTCCATAGAGAACTCCCCATGATGATTGAACCCAAATCTCCTTGAATATGACTCCAGGGAATGTTTCCTTTACTGTATATTTTCGAGTCATCTGCGAAAAACATGGCAAAAAGAAGATAGTTTCCTAGCTTGATCACTCACATACAATGCGAATAATGTAGGGCCCAGCACCGATCCTTGGATTACTCCGCAAGTAACTTGGTTCCTAGTACAAAATTGATTGCCAACTCTGACCGTGTAATATGCTTCTGTCGAAAATGCTTGTATACAGTTCAGCACGTTACCTTGGATCCCATACTGTTCCAATTTCATAATCAGAAGATCATGTGGTACTTTGTCGAATGCTCTACCAAAGTCGAAATAAACGCCATCCACAGTGTGGAATGGTCTAGAAGTCTTGTGCAGAATCATGTGGACATTAGTAGGTTTGACGTCACTGACCTTCGTGGTAGAAACCCATATTGATTTTCCGAAACTTCATTGTGTGAAATCTAGAATATTTCTCGTGACAATTTTCTCAAGGAAATTGCGAGGTACACTTGTTGTGTTTACCGGGCGGTAATTCTCTGCGCATAGTTTGTTACCTACTAAATAAAAAGGTGTGACGTTAGTTGAAGTCCAGGAGTCAGGTTATTCGGATTCCTGCAGACTGTTCTGCTCAACAATGTTCAAGGGTGTAACTCACTGTTGCGCACATTCTTTGAAGACAGAAGCGGGTGGATTTGGTCTGGACCCAGTGATGATTCAGTTTTTAACTGCAATACCTGCGATAGAACAATCTGTTCGGTGATGTGTATGTCTTCCAAGGAGTTCTCTATTCTTGTTCCAGGATCGCGTTGCACATTATTATTGACACTGGCCAGTTGTTCTGGAACTCTTGCGCAAACGAATTGGCGATATTTTGTTGATTAGTCACAAGAACGCCGTTAGTTTCCAGAATTGGTGTACTCACCTCTGATGAAACTTCATTCCTCACGTAAATATGTACCGCTTTAGGGCCTTTGGGTAGCAAATTTTGTTCATATCTGCAGCCAGCTC